GCAGTTATAGATAATAGGAATTACAATAAAATTCCTATGTGCCCTTTGTGAGATAGGAGCATTCATGTGCATGATGTTCATTCACCATATGTATATTCAGTTTACAGTATGATTATCTAAATCTAGTATATATTATTGTACATTAACATGAGAACTGAACTATCAGAGTCAGTTTATTGTAGATTTATATTGAGACTTAGGCATTATAATGCAGTTATTACCTTTTATGCACTGATCTAGTTATCTACTGCTGCATAGCAAAATAGCCCAAAACCTCATGGCTTAAAGCAAGCACTGTTGTATCTCATAGTTTGAGGGAGTGGCATCAGTATTTAAGTAGTACTTTGCTGGTAATTTTTCTGTTGCATGTGACATTGATTGATTCACCTGGAAGCATATCTGAAGGGTTGAGGTGGTTGCAATTATATGTCTGTCATCTTGATGTGGAGGGTTAAAAGCCTGAGTCAGCCGGGACAACTATAGCACCCACACGTGACCATTGCAACATGGCGGTCTCAAAGGAACCAGACTCTTTTCTGTCAATCCTGGATCCCCAAAGTGTCCCAAGAGGCCGTGGAAGCCTCAGAAGCCCTTGAACATTACTTTGGAACATTCTGTTGGTAAAGCAAATCACTAAGGCTGCCAGGATTCGAGGGGAGGAGAATTGAACTAGAAACACACAGCCTTGCCTTCCCAATTTAGACTACTGACCTCCACAGCTGTAGAAGAATAAATTTGTGTTGTTTTAAGGCATTGAGTTTGGCAATCTGCTACAGCAGAGACCCACAAAAGACACATTTGCTTTGTTTTTATTATGCATGTGTGTGTTAATTTAATCATGAGGTACTGACTGAATGATTATAGCTTTAAAGTACAAAGAAATTGCAGTCACAAGTATCTGTTATCCCTGTTTTTATCCTGTCTTGGTTCTAAAAGACTCAACTGATCATTAAATTTGGTAGTACCTTTTTATATTTTGAATTAATGTTCATTCAAAACAAAATACTAACAAACAAAGTTCTAGGCATCCGAGCATACTGCAATAAGCTAATGTGCTTATATCATTTTTAGTTGATTTATCATATCCTTGAGTTTTGCTAAATAACATACAGTTACAAATTATAGCTTTATATATGGGATATTTAAAAAACACAAACATCTACAACTGTTAAATAATTATCCATCATAAATCCATAAAAATATATTTGATCACAGTTATAGAGCACTCATGGAGAAGAAAGGTTCTTTTGAATTAGGAGACTGAGGTTTGTACTCCATGATGCCATGTTTTTCCAGTGGCCTCTAATCCTTCACATATTTTGTGGGAAACCAAATGCCAGTTTTTACCAAAAACAGGAAAAGGTGAAAGATGGCTGGGACTAGGGACCTCTAAAGCTTATCTTACAGTTGCTCAAATTGCAACAGTCTCTTTAATTCTTTTAGTTTAAATGTTCACCCTTGCTAAATTTTATTTCTGCATTAAGTGCTGTCATTTTATTATCTCGTCCTTTGTGAATATATACAGTTACTCTGTAAGGCCTCATTCTTTAGCCATCGCCTGTATTTTCAATAAAAGAACCTCTACAGATGTTCATATGAGTGAACAGCGTCTGGAAGCCTGGCCAGGGGCCAGCCAGGTAATTGGTCTTGCTTGGGTGTTCCAGAAATAAAGTTATTATTTCCACAGCTTATATCGAGAGTTCAATTTTATTTCTTTTGAATTGGACTCCTTAATCTCTTAGCTTGCTTGTCTTGTGGGAAATGCATTAGGATTTCTGACTAGGGCCCATGGTTAGTCACTTTTTTTTTTGGCCTTTCTAAAACCTAGATTAGTAACCCTAAAATTATAGAAATATAATCATGGAATGAGTATGCTTTAAAGTTTTTTAATACCCAAATACTTATAAATTTTTCAACACTTAAGAAAAATATTTAAGTCTACCAAAGGAAGGTAGTGTTAGAGTGGAAATCTGAGTTCCTTACAGCTTTATACATTCAGCCTTGCCAGCTATCCTGTCTCCATTGTGAACTTACAGGGCTTTTCGGGAACCTAAGTAGTGTCTTCTGGGGACATTTCTGCGGCATTGGTTCCTGGTGGCTGGAAATGTGCACATTCTTTATTATTTAGATATTGAGATTCATGGTTCGGCTTCTGTTGTAGAATAAAGTGATACATGACATATCACGCCTTATCATTATGAACTCTGAAAAATATTTTAGAAGTTTTTCCTCTCCAAAGAGTTCCTATAATACATTTCTGTGGCCTGGAAATATTTTCTGTTGATGTAAAGTCACTGTGTGTGGAAGGTTCTCTGTGTGGGTATCTCTACTATACAAGGGGCAGGCTTCCGAGATCTCAGCCTGTGAGTTAGTCACACCTTTGCTTGTGTGTGGTGGAGCTTTCAGTTCAGACTGATTTCTGGAAAAGGACCACCCAGCCTTGGCATTTGACCTAACAAGTTGCTACCTATTCCAAAAAGAAAATTCATTAATACCTTAATGAATGAGAGTTGTTTGCATCACTAGAGTATATGTCACTATGGAACCTTTGACTAATATGACTCTTAGAGACTCAGTCTGATTCCATTAGTAATTTGATAAAGAGCTGTAGCCAGTTGGCACCAGACCAGCTGTCACTATGGCCCCCAGCCCACCAGCTCAATGCCACTTTGTATGGTGTTGCTCTGTTCTGTTAAACAGATGTTATGATTTAGGCTAGACATCCTGCATTTCATTAGGAAGAAAAATATCACCTATTTATCTCACTCATTCAGTCTTCAATGGACCAATCAATGGACTGAACATGTGTGGTCTGTAAATTCTGATCCCAGCTTTAGCCACTACTTATAGCAAATACTTTAGAATGCCACGACCTCCAACTTTCTTAAAATACTCTCTTCTACACAGCAGGTTTCCCTGGTTATTTGATCTGTATATTTACAAATAAATGACTTTAAATCACAATCGAAAGAGATACTTGCTCAACATGCAGTGGTTTTTAGATATTCTTTTCCTGAACCAATGTTTTTCCTCTTGAAATTACATTACATTTATAATTCAGAAGCTTAGTTTCATATTTAATAAAGAACTCTAGGTGCGGTTAAGCCAATTTTCTCATAGTGGTTTCCTATCAATTACAAACCGATGTTAGAAATGTATATATGTACGCAATGGTAATAGGAGCAGACTGCTATTTCTTGAGAGGCAGAAAATGAGATTTAGTAGGCCCTGTCTGTAGAATTTTCATACTTGAGGTTGGCCATAAACGTCAGCTAGGTTTTTGGGTAAATACATTGACAGATTTACGCAGACATCCACATACTTATTCAGGATCTTCTGCATCCCACTCAATGTGTGTACTCTACTGGGTTACAGAGATTAACAAGTGACACATTCCTTCAGTTATCGCCTGCTTTGCGTGTTGTGCTTCAGGATAGATGGACTCTACTGACGTCTCCTTGTTCGCTCTATTTCCCTACTCTGTCTTCTCCTTCCAGTGAGATTCTTTGTGGTATGTTCAGTCTTTTTGTACTAGCCAGTGTCTTTCTTCAAATGAAGTAAGCATTCCTTTTCATCCATCATGATTATAATAAACAATTACTCTAATGCTTGCTGGTTATAATATGTTTTATCTCTACTTTTTAAGTAGAGTGCAGTGGAAAGAGACAAAAGAGAGATCAGCTTTTTTCCCCCTTTTCTTTCTTCTGTTAAGTAACTCCATTTCTTTCTTCTACTCCCTAGTTAACATGAATTGTTTCTTTCATTTCTTTCTTCACTCCTCTGAAGTCAGAAGTGATAGTGGGTGATGTAGTGTGGTATGGAATAGATAGTGGGTTCACACTGAGACAGAGAAATTTTTAGTCTTTTTTTTTTTATATGTATTCAAATAGACTGAATATTATGATCACTTCAGCAAAACTGTATCAAATAAAATAAGTTTATTAAAAGTTTATGTGCCAATATTTTGTTGTAGGGATTATAGCATTTTAAGAAAGTTTGAAATGTATTTCATACTTTTTCATGTTTATTTTCTTTATATTATTTTAGTTTTATTCTATAGACTTAAGTAGGAATCACAGCTTTATTTCTTCAATGTATGATGGTTTTTCTGGGGAAAGAAAAGAGCCTTTGGAAATGGAAAATAACCTGTAATTTATGTAACTATTAATAGTTTGGACAATGTTATTTTCAGTCCATCTCAATTAAACTTTGCTTTGTGATCTACAGTGTGCTATACATTTAATTATTTTTTTATTTTAAATTTGCTAAGTCACACAGATGAAAATTATGACACAGGTAAATTAGAATAGTTTTTAAATGTCATAAATAAGAGCCAAGCATTCAAACTCTCCAAGATGTCCAATATTAAAATAAGTGTACCATCTACATGAAAAGTAAATTAAAAATATTCTAGCATTAAGTATTATCAGTGTTTGCTAATGACAGGGTTTGTAAGAGCTAAATAAAGAAATATATAGTGAAAGTTATTCTCCTTTCATTTATACTATGAAGATTTGTTGCATTTAAGTTTTGTAAAAGTATGATAATACTTTGTTGAGTTTAGTTTAAGTGCCCAGGGGTAGGATAATGGCCAATGGGTTCTATGATGATCAAACCCAGAAGGAACCAATCTTTTAATATGATTGCTTGAAATTTTCTGATGAATCCTTTGGATTAAATTCAGAATAAAATACCATTTTTTAATAATCTGTTTAAATTCTGAGATTGAATTGCAATAGTAGCCAAATAGCCAAATAGTAGAATTTTAATAGCCAAATAGTGGAATTTCTTATGAAGTCATTACATTGTTTTCCTCATTGTGTCTTTTCAGATATTACATATTTTATCGATTTCACATCTTTCTCAATAATGCTCTAAATGTATTAAATTATGAGTATGCCCTGAACATATTTCATTAATATGTATTTCTGTCCCCAAAATTGTCCCATTTTGAGTGATTTGTTTTTTAAAAAAAATTTTATTTCTTCTTTTTAAAAAAGGCATTTAGTGAATTTGAGATTGAGCAGCATCAAGAATGTGCTTACGACCACTTAGAAGTATTTGATGGAGAAACAGAAAAGTCACCAATTCTTGGACGACTATGTGGCAACAAGATACCAGATCCCCTTGTGGCTACTGGAAATAAAATGTTTGTTCGGTTTGTTTCTGATGCATCCGTTCAAAGAAAAGGCTTTCAAGCCACACATTCTACAGGTCAGCAAATTTGAGTCGTGTTTCTCTTTTTTGGACTAAGATCCAGGTTTCTCTTCTGGTGAATTTGGTTCAATAATAGGATTGTAAATAAATCTCCAAGCATAGCAGATGAAATTTCATTGAAGCACTTTGTGAAATATTTGCAGAACCACAAGCATCCTACCTAAAGATTTTCGCAGTTCTTGAGCATTTAGGAAGACCCAATAGCTTTTGCCTGATTTGTGATCAGTGCAGTTTGTTTAAGTAGAACTGTACCGAAATATTCATATAATGTGTTTCATATTAACATTAGCAGTTTGATTTTTATGTTATATTTAACAGATAGAAATCTATGGCTTGATATTAAAAATGTATGTTTTATCTAATAACCTATCTGATCAGCTAGATTTTACATTAATATATTTTTATAAATAAGTTTAAGACTGATCTGTTTGACAGAGCCTCTATTTTTCCTTTGTTTATTTGGTAGGCAACATGATCTTTTGCCTAATCCTACAATCTAATTTACTCTTACACATTTCAACGAACTGTTCTGGGAATCTTAAAGAAATAGAATTTAATTTAGAAAAAATATGAAAAATTTTAGACAAAAATATAGAGTAATGTTATTTATAGTTTGGAGACAGTTTCGTTATATGTTCCATAAAATATCTATAGAATGTCCCCTTTTCATTCAGTTAAGACAATGTATCAGTTAAATGTAGATATTAACTGGTCATTTAGCTTGTACTGACACCTAGTGGCATTGCTGATGCATAAAAGATTGATACATGGGAGAAATTTGTCTTGGAAAACACAGTATAAAAACGTACAAATTCATCTATGAAATAATTTTAATGAAATTTTGTCATGAATGTCTGCTGATTGTTTTTATTCTTTCACTTTGTTTTGTAATTCATAATTTTAGCTATTCCATTATCCAACATTATTTTCCATTCATTTTATTATGAACATTTGATTTATACTGAAGTCCGTGATAAAGATATTGTCAGAATAGTAATCTGATTAATAATAGTAATCATTTGTCTTCTATCAATAATACAAATTAATTACTTCTTATGATTAATATAAATATTACACATGAGGAAAATCTTACATAGACCAGAGAAATGTCATGCTAATGAGAGATTTTCCACACATTTGGCATTTACTCTTTCAATATTTTTCTTATAATTTGTCACCTAATGAAGAGGTGGAAAAATAAAATCCTATTATTTAATCAATGTTTCACTGATAGCACAGAGTTCATCACATTCTGGAAAATATCGTCATCATAGGTTCCAAAAATGTAGTGTGAAAATGTGCTGTCGAAACTGTTTAAATAATTGATGATACAGTATTTTAAGATTATCTATTTTTTCTTATTCATTTTTATAAAAACTTATTTTTATGCTGTCTCTTTTTACCCCTTGTAAGCAGGATAACTGAGGTTCTATTATGCTCAGTGTGTCGGTACATCTGGGTTCCTGCTACAAGTGAACCCTTAGCTAGCAGGAAACTTTTGAAAAGATCATTTCTTTGGATCTCAGTTTTCTCATCTGTAAAATAATAATCCCAAGGTTACCTACAGCAGCAAAACTCCATACCTCCCTAATTTGCATGACTTCTTCCCATGCACGCCATTTGCAGTGTTTGTATTCTGATGAACATTCCACTAAGAGGATCTAATTTTATCTTAACGGAGGTCATGTATTATGATCCAATGGTAGAGAATGCACTGGGCATTTTAGTCTTACACACATACTTTACATAGATTGCATCCTCAAAAGAACTGTGTGACATAGATCCTATCATCCTCATTTTGCAGATGAAGCCAGTGAAAATCTGGACGATTAATTTGCAGTTTCTAAAATAGTGTCAAAGCCTGGGTTTTATTCTAATTCTGATTGTCTCCAAAGATAATGTACTTCCTACTATAGTAATATTTTCTCATGTAAAACTTTTGGATTAGGAAGAAAATGAATATAAAAGTATCATTCTTATAAGGTGAAGATTGAATGCTTCTTTATAGAAATATTAAGCAAATCTCTTCAAAGTATGCAAGTGACTAGGCTCATTTTATTTCCCTGTTTCATTCACAACCATTCAGATACCATGTGAGGAACCCCAATCACAATTTGTTAGGCAAAACAGGCCATGGATATTCTTTAAGCCTGCCCTGTTATTTCAGAAATGAGAAATTTAAGGCTAAAAAATTTAATGGTAACTGAAATAGCACAAGAAGTTAGTAATAGTTGAAATTAGAGTCCCAACTTCCCAACTCCTGTTCCTTTATTATTCTGAGAATTTTTGATATCACTTGTTTGTTTTTTCAGCTAGGTTGGAATTTTTCTGGTAGACCTCTTTTTTTCTATTACTTTCTAGTAATCATACATGTTGAAATACACTTAAGTCTGCTTTTGTTTCTCCTCAAAGTCTCTTTAACAGGTTCATTTATTCTACTCTTTCACCAAATATTTATTTTGCATCTGCTTTGGACAATGTAAATGTGTGGGAATTTTTAAGACAATAGAAGGAATTCCTGTCTACTGACAGCTTACAGTCTGATAAGTTAAACTTATGATTTTCAGTTTATCTTTCAATTTCTGCTGACAAGACAGCCAAGTCCAGTACCATATCTGTCAGCCTTTGCTACATGTATAAAGCATTTATTCATTATTTACTGTCTTCTAGAATATGGATGGCTATTTTTGATGGATCCTTTAAGTATATAGTTTCATTTGCTTAGATAAATTTATATTTTTGTATACAATTTTAATTTTATGCCCAAGAGAAATTTCTAACACTATGAATTTTAAAACTAGGTGACTAGAAATGTAAGATGTAATTATGGCTGCTTTTCTTTAGAAGTTAAAAAAACAAGTCCACGGAAAATGGACTTAATTGAAAAGAGTTCTTTTTTCCTCTGACAGTTTGCTCAAATTTGAATTCCAAATTTATTTTAATAGGTAACAAATGATATTCCTCCAGCCTTAAATAACTTAATTAAAGGAAGCAAATCTTTAGTAAAAAAAAAAAAAAAAAAAAAAAAAATTCCTGTGTCTTAGTTCTAAGAGGATATGGCTACAAAACAGAAAAACGGGAGAAACATGGAGAGAAAATAATTTTTAAAATCAAAGTATTGTCTCTTGGGACTTCTTTTCTGTGATATAAAACATCATATTCTGTGTCAATGACATTTAAAAATAAAGTAATATATTATTAAACTCTTTGGAAAGGAAATTATTTTGATCTAAATCAATTAAACTGGATTGCTCACTAAAAGCATTTATAGGTCAAATTACAAGAGTTCTCCTGGAGTTTAATACTTTACCAGGAAATAAACAAACTTGTCTTTCCAAATTAAAATGAAGTTCACCATAGGCTTCTCTTCCCTCCTTTTTACCTTTCCTATTCAGCTTCATTTTCCATTTCTCAGAATTCTGTAAGAACTGCTTTGGCAACTGTTCTTTAGATGATATAAAAATGCTATTGCCAACATAGTAAATAACTGGTTTTATATTTTTCTGACTTGGTAAATGAATAGGTAGTTTCGATGAAAATGTGTTCACCGTATTTAAAAGTCATCTTTTAAAGTGACCTATTACAATAAAGGACCTATTGACCATTGCTTGAATGGCCAGGAGGATTCTGGAAAACACCCAGAAGCAATTGCCCTCGGGCTGCCTATTGTATTCTGGAATTTTCTCAGGGCATATTATAGGTTGGTGCAACAGTAATTACAGTTTAATAAAATCACACCTCTTTTGCATATAGCATTCAAATGTTCATTTCATTCTTTACAAATTCATCCTGTGGACTAAATTATGTCATGGGGGGTGTGTAAGTGCGAGTGAATGATGGTTAGAACATTAATTCCTGTGGACTGAATTCTGTCATAGGGTGTGTGTGTGTTTGTGTGTGTGTGTCACGGTTAGAAATTAAGTCCAGGTTTATTAGTTTGAGCAGTGATCCACAGAAATGGGGGTGTGCACTGCAACAGATAAAAGAAAACGGACGCAAAAGCGGGGGGCGCGGAACTTCTTGTTGTCCTTAAATGCAGCTTAAGGCATTTGTTTTTAAATGTAGGTCGTTTTTCTAGAAGTTTTTAATAAAGTCCCATAAAGACACCTTCCTGTGATTTTCAGATTCATAAAGCCTCTATGAAGTCGTTTTTCCTCTTCTGTTTAATTTCTTTAATTCTTCCTTGATTTTTGTTCCAAGTTGCGGCTGGCAGAGTGTTGCTTCTTCTGGATCCTGGTCCTTGTAATGCTACCTTATATCCGTGAGGCAGGCACACAAAAGGCTGCCTGCACCAGCTCTCCAGGTCCTCCCCGGCTGCTCTTCCTGGGCCATGGAATAAAAGTAATGCAAGTGCCGAAGCTAGTTTAAAAAGCTGAAAACAAAATATATCAGTCAATACTCAAACTTGGAGAAGAGGTAGAATTTTAAAAAATCTGTAAATGAGATTACACTGATTTACATATTTATATGTTGAATTCAGAAATATTTTTCACAAAATATTTTACTGGCCTTCAAAAGTAGAATTTTTCCTTCCTAATAGAATATTAATAGTGCTTTAAATTGTTGTTCATTTTTCTGGGTTTTTCATTTCAAACCTGAGTGGATCCTAGAGTACAGATGATGGCATTTACATATGCTCATAGGAAAATAATAACAATAATAATGGTAGCTTAAGTTTATATAGGTTTTACTATGCCAGGCACCTTTCAAGCATTTTTCATATATGAACCTATGCACTCTTCATCTGGACCCTATGATGTGAGTACTATGTATGATTCCCTTTTTAGAAATGAAAGTGTGGAAAAAAGTCTCCCAGCTGGTAAAGAATAGAGCCAGATTTGCAGCCAGGCAATTTGACTGGGAGTTCCATCCCATGAAGGGGCAAATAATTCTTGGAGTTACTGAGATAAGAAAAGCTCCATACTGGGAAAGGGAGGATGCTTGGCTTCCAGTCTGTGGGACTTGGGAGATAAAATCCCAAGGGTAATTGGTATTCCAGCTTTCAGGACTATTTCCTCACATAAATACATTTGTAATAGTGGCACCTCTATCAGTAGGTTGTGTGAGATACTCATCTACCATTTGGAAGACGGAGGGACATTTGCATTCACCGTGTAACACAGCCTAATGGGGAAGTCATTCTTGTAACTGGAACCCTAGCTGGAAGTTCCTTCATATGTTAGTCACATAAAGGTCTCTGAATTTGCTGTTGTTTATGATAATGCCCATAGAGTTGCTTGGGCACACATGATTTCAGACAAGGGGTTCAATACCCATAATTCAGAAACATTTTGTTTTTTAAAAGTCACCAAACCACAATATGGGTAAACTATGTACAAATCTTAAAAGTTCAATTTAGAATTTCGGCTGCCTAACCATCTTCGTGAAGGACTATCTGGTCACAGACTACCATCACAGTGTTACAGTTGTACTTGGCTGTCCAGTGGTTTTGCTTCTCCAGATTTTACCACATTGGATTTCCTCTAGGATGTTCCCTATTTTAGCAGTAAAACTCCTACTTCCCAGAAACTCTTTCAATCTCTGACAAACAGAGACAAAAAGAAACTCCACTTTCTCCTGACACTTTTCATAGCCTATTCTTTTATCTCCCTCCTAACCACCATACTTGCTTGGATAGGTTGGTGGGGCATTGTAGACTCTCTGCCTTTATTTAATCTCCAGTAATTAAAAAGTTTTAGGGCTCTGGCCAGGTGCGGTGGCTCATGTGTGTAATCCCAGCACTTTGGGAGGCTAAGGCAGGTGGATCACTTGAGGTCAGGAGTTCAAGACAAGCCTGGCCAACATGGTGAAACCCTGCCTCTACTAAAACTACAAAACATTGGCCACATGTGGTAGTGAGCGCCTGTAGTGCCAGTTACTTGGGAGGGTGAGGCAGGAGAATTGCTTGAATCTGGGAGGCAGAAGTTGCAGTGAGCCAAGATCACACCACTGTACTCCAGCCTGGATGATAGAGCGAGAGCTCTTCTCAAAAAAAAGGAAAAGTTTTGGGGCTCTGACTACAAATTGTTCCTGAGAGGAGTGTTTGAAACCTTTTATTTTCTAAATTATACTAACTAAAACATTTTATGCCCACTTGCTTATTTCGTTGGTGTATTTACCTTGAGTGACAAAGGTCACTCAATAATAACTGGTAGAGCCTGTGCTTATTAATTTATCTTTTTTAAAGGAGCTGTGAGGAGCATTTACTATTTTTTCTTGTAATAAACACAGACTATCGTTGGATAGATTCGAGAATTGTAAAGATAATTATAATTAATGATATATGTAGGTTTTTCCCCATCAAGTGAGATAAATATTTCTGTTGAAGTAAAACACTACTATTGTATATATTCTATATAGAAAGTTCTATATAACACAAACACACGCTGAGGAGTTTTGTATCTATTGTTGAATTTTAAGTTACTTCTCACTTCTTTGCATTTGGGCTTCTTAAATTGTTACGATTAAACTTAAGTTAATACTCTGGAGTCTCCTCTATGAAAATAGTTATTTGAGACTAGAGACAGTGTTAGGTATTACAATTTTAAAAATTATTGAGTCCCTAAGTGGTAGATTCTAAGTGATTTTCATGTTTTTAATTCTGAAACCTCGCTAAAATTGGTACCATTATTTTCATCTGTATTTTACCCTTGAGAAAAACATGGCTGAAAGACATCCCTTACCCGGAGTCACAGGGCCCGCAGGCATTGGGACTGAGATTCCAACCCAGACCGTCCATGTCTGGGGCCTGGGTGGGCACTCGTGACACTATCTGACTCTTCAGTTATGGAAAACATAACTGATACTGGAAGTAGAAACAGAAGTTAGACAATGGCTAGGCTACACTGAAACTACACTGAAATTGAAATTGGACCCGTTAAAGCCCATTGACTTTACTCGTTTTATTTTTCTTTCCTGGGCAGAGTGTGGCGGCCGATTGAAAGCAGAATCAAAACCCAGAGATCTGTACTCACATGCTCAGTTTGGGGATAACAACTACCCGGGGCAGGTTGACTGTGAATGGCTGTTAGTATCAGAACGGGGCTCTCGACTTGAATTATCCTTCCAGACGTTTGAAGTGGAAGAAGAAGCAGACTGTGGCTATGACTATGTGGAGCTCTTTGATGGTCTCGATTCAACAGCTGTGGGGCTTGGTCGATTCTGTGGATCCGGGGTAAATATACCACCAATAGGATACCCTAGACACCATTAAGATGCCTATTGATTCATGATTGATATATGTACCATTCACAAGTTGGCAATGCTTTTACAAAAAAAATAAATAAATAAGGTTACATCATATTATAAATGGCTTGACAAATTATAACATGTCTCTTCCCTTATCAATTCTCCACTTCTAATGAATTTGCCTGAATATCAGGTGAAACTGATGAAATCAGTAGGTATAATTTCTTATCACTTTTCCATGTTCTAATTTCTTATTATGCAATAAATATTTAAATACTTAATCTAACAGCAGCGTATTTAAACACACACCATAGACAATTCTGTCACGTTTCTAAATTAAAGCTTAAAGGAAACAAAGAATATGCACACCATTCTAATTCACATTCTCTTCTTAACAAATATATTCGGCGGCAGTGGCAAGGTCAGCCACTGGTGTGTGTACACAGGCAATGCTACAGAGATACTGTTCCATTGCACAGTGTCACTTGTGCAGGTGCGGAGTGCCAGGTACACGTCAGAAGAGGTCACCATGAGAAATAAGGAAAAGAAAAACCTAAGGTTTTCTCTGTGTTTTTCCCCCAGGACTCACTGCATGAATATTTATATATTTATAGTCTTCTGAATACATATTTTGTACTGAAGATATTGGTCCCAGTTTTTCAAATGTCTACCAGTAGCTATTGCTTCAGTAATACTGTTGAACTCCTGCCCAAATGACAACTGAAATGTAACGAAAAAGGTTCTTGGTGCTTAGATTATTAAAACAAGAAATACTTGACGATTTGGATTCTGGAAGTGGCTCTGCTTCAGAGCAGCTTCTGAAACGCATTTAGTATCTCTACACTCTCTAAACCTCACTTTACTGATTTGCAAATCAAGAGAACTTGGCTTAAAAGCTTAGGGAAAAAACATTCAAGTCCTAGAGAGAAAAGTGCCCAGAACTTAGAAAATATAATGTATGTTCAGAGCTCAGCTACATCACTGACTAGCCATGTGAGCTCTAGCATGTCACTTTCTTCTCTGAATCCCATTTTCTCCTCTATAAAGTGAAGAAGTAGATTACACCTACTCTCCAAGGTTGTTGGGAGGAATAAATTATATTCCAAAGAAAAGTATTCCCAAACGTGCATTACACTGAAGAAAAAGTGATTCGTTTTATTGCTTGTTTACTTGCTTGTTGTTTTTGTTTTCCTTCAGCCCCCAGAAGAGATTTATTCAATTGGAGATGCAGTTTTAATTCATTTCCACACTGATGACACAATCAACAAGAAGGGATTTCATATAAGATACAAAAGCATAAGATATCCAGATACCACACATACCAAAAAATAACACCAAAACCTCTGTCAGAACACAAAAGAATGTGCATAATGGAGAGAAGACATATTTTTTTTAAAAACTGAAGATATTGGCACAAATGTTTTATATAAAGAGTTTGAACAAAAAAAATCCCTGTAAGACCATAATTATCTTTGTACTAAAAGAGAAGTTTCCAGCGAAACCTTCGTCAGCATTACAAGGATATTTGAACTCCGTGCTTGATGGTATTAGTAAAGCTGGTGAAAGGGCATCACATACTTCAAGGAAGACTCTACAAGCTTTTGTTCACAGCTTGAAATAGATGCCTCACAATTCAGAGAGTTTAATTCAGGAGTTGTGACCCTGCAGAGTTCTTTTTGACAATTTGTCAAGATTTGGGGACATAAAATGATCTTGCAGGTCATAAACTGGAAAACACTATTCTGGTTGTCTTAGGATAATTGCTGACTTTGTATCTTGGATACAGTGTAAACCAGATCCATGTAAGGTGATGTGAAATGGGAGTCTTTCGAGGGTGATTTGTACTTTCCATGTGTATGTGTGTGTCTGGTGTTTGGAAACTGGGATATTTCAGCTTCATTATTTCCACTTGCAGGCCAGCTTAACCTCTGAAACACAAATGATCTTGAGACCACTTTAGTGTACTTACATTTTGATGAGTTTGAAATGTCAGTGGTGTCTATTATTGCAGTTAAATTCTAGACATCAGTTCTTTGTCTCGGAAAATGTCCAGTGAAATGGTAAACTTAGTTCTTTTTTTTGGAAGTGCTGCCTTTCACACCAAATCCAAGAAGCCTGTGATGTCTTATGAACCTTATGAGAAAACGCCGAAGAGGTGTGAGCAGGATTCTTCTGAATGACTGTCTGGATGGTTCATTACTCAAGTTACTGCTGCTGCTATTGTCTTTCCTTTGTTGTCGATCTGTTATTGTTGTAGCTATTATTGTTGATGTTGTCATGGTTAATCTATTTTTTAAAAATGAAATGAAGCGGAAGTAGGTCTTGTGAGAACTGAAAGATCTCTTTCATTTTTCTCTTCCTGGGATTCATTTTTTCAAAATGCAATGCTGGAAAAAAATGTTTGTTTCTGAAAGACTTCTTATGGTGCTATTCCATAAACTTTTTTTTAAACAAGTTTTTGACCTTTGAGCCAACCCACCTGTAGACTACGAATGTCTCCCTATGGCTGGTGGCATTTGAAGACTAAAGACTTGTCAAATGTATCAAGAGTATATCATTGCAAGGGCAACCCTTGTCCTGTGGAACAACTACTTATAATGCCTTAGAATTCTTGCACATGATCAAACAGATCCTCCTAAAACACACCTTTTGAAATGTTGAACATAAGAGTGTATGTTAACTAACAGCTCTCTGAAGAAAATGCATTTCCATGACTGAAGCATTGGATATAAATACGGTGTCCTGCTTTTTTTGTAGAAAATGTAATTTGAGGATGAATTTTCTGCTTTAAAGGCATGTGTGTTTTTAAAATTAATGAATGTAGATGTGTGATTGTCTGAGTGAGTGGCACTACAAGAGGTAAAAAATAATGGGTGGTTGAAAAGTTAAAATGTATGTGCCAAGTTCTACTAGAATTCCATTTGAAATAGCACCTTCCTTAGGTTTCATGGACAAATAATGGGAACTTCTAATTATGATCAATCCCATTAAAGAAAGGCTCTTTCCTTTAGAGAAACTCTATTTTGATGTCAATATAGATTACTGTATGAGGTAGCTTTGTTTCTGTTACCTGTCCATGAGCATACAACATTGAATACAATTGGGTATATTCTTTCAGTTTTACAAAATTAAACTATACACACAGATGTAGCTTATCTGTTTTTTTTTAAACTGTTGCCCTGAAAATATTTCTTGCATATGAATTGTAAAATGTAAATACATTTTTAAAACCAACATTTTGATCTTATTGAATGTTACTTTGAAAATGTATAACTATTGCCTGCAATGTAGATGAGCCTGTTAGTAGAGCTGATTCATTCCAGTAACTTCTTCCATATTTTCTCACTAATCTCCAGTTAGCCAAAATATGCCAGGAATGGGAAAGAGGAGAAAAAATCATTAACATTAACACCTATACTGTTCTATACTACTCCTACTCCGTGCTAGGAGTGTGCACTAGCTCTTTTTAAATTCCATGCTACACTCTGAGGACTGTCATCATGTTCTCGTTTTGTAGTTCAGAAAGTGAGGCTCAAAGAATTTATTTAACCTTCCCAGAGTCACAGTGTAAAGTTAGATGTTGAAACCCAGTTTATCTTATATAAGAGTCTCTGCTTGTTCTACAAAGGTAGTAGAATCAATCTTGACCTACATAAATAGTAGATTTTTTATGGTGAAACCTTCCCACATAAAGTAAATTTTAGGGGTGAATTAGAGTAAAACTCTCAAGATAGGCATTTTGTTCTTTTCGAGAACAGCATGAAACTTAGAATATCAATGATAGCTGTCTTTAAGAATCAGAATTAGTACTAGAAATTTAAAATAAACTATAGTTTGGAGTTAGGATGAACCTTTTGTGAAAATAAATATATTAAATTATTTTGCCTGATGTGATAGGGGAAATGTATTGGTCTATATTAAGAAATATTCTGGCTATTCTGATTGATATCTTACTACGCCATGGTGAGCTATGCTCTGCACACTGAGAAATTAGGTATTTAGAAGGCACACAGAGATGTTGCCATAACTAGGTCTTCAACATGAAAATTGATTTTTATTGTGTCATGTCAGATATCAGTTTACCGCATATTATTTTTATATTAATTCAACATTTGCCTTAAACGTGTTGTTAAATGAAAATATAGACAGCTTCATTGTTGTGTTGTTAATAATTGTTAGTTACTGCTCCAGACATTTTATTAAATTAATTTTTTAAATTATTTTCCACCCTACATCAGTATATTGGTTGTGCTTTATATTTGCCAAAATCCTAACTCCCATATTGTCCTCTCTGACTATACATAGATCCGGCCACTGCACTCCAGCCTGGGCGACAGAGCGAAACTCCATCTCAAAAAAAAAAAAAAAAAAAAAAAAAAAAAAAAATCACTGTTCTCACTGGATTTTATTAAATTATTTTTAAAAGTCAATTTTGAATATAACTGTAGTTTATTCAGGAGATAGTGACTTAACATAAATGGACAAAATAACTTTTTAAAAGAAATGGATGAGAAGCAATTGTGTTTCCAAAACCCTCAAGTATCCTATTCCTATATGGCTGGATTTTTGCTATGTATGACTCATTTTAATATGTCACAGTATGAGATTCAAATTCTGCTTAACTTTAAGATATCTTAGCCTCTTTTATTTGGTTTGTGATACTGCTGTATTTTTGGTGATAAGCTTCAAATATCAAATTTCGTTCTGCCATATAGAAAAATCTCTAAAAGCACCAAGTAATTTTATTTTTGTAAGGTTAAAATTTATTTTTTAAAAGAAACATTAAATTATATATTTATGTAGATTTAGAAGGAGTATAACCCTGTGTGAAATTATAAATTACTTAAAACAGTTATCAAATATTTGGAAACTATTATTTACTAATAAGAATAAGACTTGCCTTATGGAAAATTTTTGATGCCACTTGTTAAATCAGGTATGGAAGGAGGAAAGCAGAAAATATAACTGCCTCCTAAAGATGTATAACTTGAGTTGCAGTAATGCTTTCTATTTTACAACAACAAATGTGTAATAAGAACTTACCAAAAAGAGAAAAAAGGTGGCCGGTGAATGAATTGAAAGTTTTTATCCTTCAATGCATGGTAATTGGTTTCCAATGAATATTTAGCTTTTGGTGTTTTATGTTATTGTTATAAAACTGAGAAACTTTGTCATTAGATTAGGAACCAAGTAGTGGGAATGCTGGCTCTGATATTTTGTGAAATAGCATTATTCGTCTCCAAACTTTCTTCTGACATCTACATTTTCACTGTCTAGTTTCCAACTTGCCTAACTTTCCCTCACTCCAGTATATTGAACCTGAATCCAAGCTGGCCACGTAACTCTAGTTCCAGTCATGACACCCTAATGCAAGTACCCATGCAGGATGAAAACAAAGGAATTATAAGGCTGTGAACACACTTCACTATATATGACCTCCTTCTCATCCAATATTCTAAGCAGCAAATGAATACCATGAATATCAACTTCTAACTTCAAAAAACTTGTAGGTGGAAATGTATCTGCATAAAAAGCAGTTGAAAAGAGATCTATTAAACTCTATGCAGATTGAGGCACTTAGAAGGTCCAACATCAGGACTTATCTTTATTTATTGCCAGGTTGGAGGTATATGAGTAAATACTGACATTGCTTCTGTTGTTATATTTCTATATGAATATAAGCTAACAGCTTCACCAGTCCCTCTGACCTTGTTTTGTCTGTCTGTGTTGTCCTTATATCTGGAAAGTTACTTATATAACATTTTATTTTTGCTCAACTATCAAATTTTGAGAGCATACTTGCATCTGAAAACAAATAGCAATGAAGGTTACTAAACTGATTTACACTATTTTAAACATGTGCTCAATGCTTCAGTCTATTTTGCAAATTACAATTTAAAAATAGATTCAATGGTGCTTCTTCTATTGAATAATATTATAGGATGATTATATTAGCCACAATATTTAATTATACAACAAATCTAAGAAAGAAAAAGTTGCATTATCATTTGAAAGCTCTGTTAGTTTTTTTTTTTGAAGAGCAACTGTAAAAATTTAGCTAAATACAATAAATTTCCATCAAAATATAAAAGTGCATCTATATTCCCTTGTAATATTTTTATGTTATAATTAGTGCCACAAAAAAGTGATAGCTAACATTAAAAACAGTGGTGATGTCACAGTGGTAATAGGGGTGTAAGAGGAATTACTTTAAGGAATGACATTAAGAATATTTAAACAGAAAGACTGCCCAGAAAGTACAAAGTGAAAGGATTATACATAATAAGCCTTCAATATGTAAGCCTCCCCTAAAAATTATTTAGTGGATATTCCTGAAGGAACTACAATTGAGACTAAAAGTAAATTACAGGAAAATTTTCCTGGGGAATCATAATTTTTTCAATGTTTCTTCATGAAACATTTCTTTATGAAAAATTTTTCATAAAGTTTTCAATTGTTATACTTACTATACGTATATTAGTTGTGTTTGAATTCCCTGGGACTAAAAGGTCACTCATAATAAGTTTTGCCATTTTCAAACCAAAACGCATAGTACAACAATGTATTTTACTCATTCATTTATTCTATTTATTCACTGAAGAAATATTTGCTTAATGCCTGCTAATATACTTCATACCATGCTAAGTACTATGAATTTGAGATAAAAAAGAAAAAAGCAGCAATCTTTGCTCTCGTGAAGTTTACATACTAAAGAGATAATCACTAATGTAAAGTAACCTCTCAAAGTTGAAATTTCAATAACGAAACATACATGTGTATTCTACTTCCTTTTGGGGGCATTTTGTCAAATTGTGTGGTTTGTATTTTGAGACTAGCATCAACTTAAACATCCTTGGTTCTGCATTTGAGCATTTTAAAAAATTCAGTTGTCCTATAAAAATAAGTTTTTCTCTGCATGTATTACTTTTGTTTTTAATTTATAAATTACTGAATCTCAGGATGGACAATTGGGGCTTTTTGTAAACAATATATTTTATAAAAAGAGATACCTAATACTAGCATCAGCAGCACTTGACAAATTGTAGTTCTAAATATGAAATACATTTAACCCACTATCTCCAATCAATAAGACCTAACTGGTGGGGAAAAAGGAGGTTTTTTACCAATAGTGTGATTGCAGGACAGTAAAATGCCTCACTGTCTCACTATTTGCTTCCCTTCCAAGTCAATGAGTGATTTTTTTAAAGATGAGTAAAGTCCCTATAATACCCAGCTCTCTGAAAAGCACGCATACACATGCATGCACACACATGCACACACATACACACACACACACGTGTATATATACAAAAGAATTTGGAAGCACATAACTGCAACCTAGGCAACATATGCACACAGATTATAGAATATGATGCCACAATTCAGAAAAATCTATGGAAAGATCAGGTAAGAGTAATCCCAAATAGTAAGTAACAGAATTAGACTTTTAAGAATTTTAAATGCTGAAATGATCAAATGTAGAGTAAAAAGAAAAGTATATTAAAATAATTAAGGAAAGGAAATGGAAATATGTGGAAAAACTATAGACACTTTCAAAATACCGAGTAGATTTTTAAATAAATTAAACTTGCAGAAATGAAAAAATACAGTAATTGAAATAAAAAATGTAGTTGATATGGTTGATGATATCATTTATGAAGTGGAAGCACATAAGAATCACAGGACACAACAGAGAAACAAACAGATGAAAAAATAAATTTTAAGAGACATGAGAAGTAGATGTGAATGTTCAATATGTATTTTTAGGAGTTATAGAGGAAGACAATATGGAGAATGGAGGAGAATAAAATATTCAGTATAAATATCTGAAATGCCCTGAAACTTTTGGCAGACATGTATCCTCACATTCGGGAAACAAAAAAAATTCCCCCAAAAATACATAAAAATAAGACTGCACTTAGAAAACACATAAAAATAAAGTTGCCCTTAAAGCTAAATACATAAAAATACATAAAAATAAAGATTAGACACATAGTACTGAAAGTGATTAATACAAAGTTAAAAAGTCTTAAAAGTAGTCAAAGAAAAAGGCAGATCATCAAGAAGGTAGTTATAGAAATATAGCAGACTTTCCAATACAGACTATAGTGAAATCAAGTCTTCAAGATATCAAGAGTAAATAATTGTCAACCTAAATTTTTATACCCTGTTAAATACTACTTACAAATAAGAACTATATGATATGCAAGAAGGATTAGTTATTCAAGGATTGGTGATTATGTGTCAATTTAAGATATTTACTACTATAAAATAATGTTAATTATCTTGCTATAATGTTATTATAATATTAGTGAATAATTTTAAAAGAAAGTGGAAGTACATATAAAACAATAATATAATATCATGTACAACTAGAGAGGATTAATTGAAGTTGAAAAGTTCTAAGGTCTTTGTAGTGTTTAAGAAGTGGATTACTTTAATGTTTTGTTAAATGTTCAGGGTAAAATGGTAGGCTAACCAAAAGAATAAAAGTAGGATATATAACTTCTAAACAAGTAGAGAGAAAGATAGCGTAAAAATAATAAATCTTGAGGATTTTATAAAAGGAAGATTAAGAGGCATAGAAAAAGTGAGAAACATGGACAGCACAAAATAAGATGGTAAAAAGACAGTAATAAGTAATATTTAAAATGTAAAACACATCTTCCAGGCATTTTACTAAGTGTCTGAGATATTAATTCATACAATTCTCACAGACATGTGAGTTAGAATTTATTGTCCCCATTTTATAAGTGAGAAATAAAAAATACACTAGTAATTGCAATAAATGTAAGTACACTAAAATTTCCAATTTAAGAAAAGGTATATTCAGATTGGATTAAAGTGTCATCTATAAACTTTTAGAAAAGATGCTTGTGAAACAGCATGAGAAAAGCTGAAAGTGAAAAAATGTATTGGGCATATTTTAAACTAATGATAGCTGATGTTTTTTAGGCATAAGAGACTATTTGGAATAAAATTAGCAACTCCAATGATAAAAGAAACAATGCATCTATAACATTTAAAATTTTTGATTAATGTAAATCTAGAGCCTCAAAACATATACAATTATCAAAATCATAAAAATATAATTCATGATGATAATCTGAAGATATTAAGATCTTAGTAAGAGAGATAGTGTGATATAAGGTATTTGCAAGATATATATCTGACAAAGGATTAGGAACCAGATTATTTTTAAAACCCTCAAATTCAGCAGGATACAAACAACCCTGTTTTTTTTTTTTTTTTTTTTTTTTTTTTTTGTTTGTTTGTTTGTTTGTTTTTTGAGACGGAGTCTTGCTCTGTCGCCCAGGCTGGAGTGCAGTGGCCCGATCTCAGCTCACTGCAAGCTCTGCCTCCCGGGTTCCCGCCATTCTCCTGCCTCAGCCTCCCGAGTAGCTGGGACTACAGGTGCCAGCCACCTCGCCCGGCTAGTTTTTTGTATTTTTTAGTAGAGATGGGGTTTCACCGGGTTAGCCAGGATGGTCTCGATCTCCTGACCTCGTGATCCGCCCGTCTCGGCCTCCCAAAGCGCTGGGATTACAGGCTTGAGCCACCGCGCCCGGCCAAAACAACCCTGTTGGATAAGGAATTGGCAATCTACATCTTGTGAGTCAAATTCAGCTCACTGCCTATTTGCGTCCACTACATCCTGTGAATCAAATTCAGCTCACTGCCTGTTTGCGTCCACTCCACGACCTAAGAATGATACATAAAATGACTGTTAGCCTTTTGGCAAGAAAAGTTAAGACTTGAAGACATTGTCTGTTGACCTAGAAATCCTAAAATGCCACTTGATCCTTTAAAGAAGAAGATAGGCAACCAATGTAATCGATAAATGTGCAAGGGATACACACAAGAAATTCACAGATGAAGGCAGAATGGTTTAAAAAAATGGATGAAAACATGTTTGACATTGCTATTATTTGGAAAATTCAAATTTAAATAATACGATACTATCTGATATCTATTGCATTAGTAACTAAAGTCTTAAACACTATCAAGTGTTTGCAAGGATGTATAGCACAGAAACTTTTATACACTGCTGACAAGAATGTAACCAGTGATGCATCCAAAATGCAAACATTCTGGATAACTATTTGACTCTAAGATTTTCAGATGCTCTTTTTCATCGAGCATAAATTTAATTCCTTGGTATAGAAAAACTCGTTTTGAACTGGTTTTAGGAAGTCACCTGAACTCCAGTAGCTGGGCTACAGGGAAGCTGTGCAGTCTTCCAGAGCCTGCTGAGAGAAACAGAGAAGCACACCAGAACTAGGAGGAGAAGCCCCTTCCTCCAGCAACATCCTTCATTGTTCTGTATTGATGCAGCTTCATATCAGGAGAGCAAAGGACAATTGTTCAAAGGGACCAGCTCCATTTTCTACAGCAGGCAATGAAAAACATATTTAGAATCGAGAAGCAATAAATAGACAATTGGTGTATATAATATGATATAATATTAGAATATAAATGTACATTATGTATTTATGACCTTTACACAATTTTAATAAATCCACAATCATAAGAATTAAATATTTGGCTATATTAAAAGCAAGCATTTGTATGTACCATAAATTATTAAAAAATTGCCAGCTAGGAATGCCAATGTCCTCCTTCTCTTCTTTCTCTTTTTTCCCCTTTAGCTTCTTTACAACATGATTTATGATTTTTTAAAAATACGTTTTCAAGAGATTTTAAAATAAAATATTATAATTCATGTGTATGTATATTTTTAATTCAGATTCAGCATTTATAGAGTGCACAATAACCTTGTGAGATAAGTATTATTATTCCAATATTATAGACGGGAATCTTGAATATAAAACACATAACTTCCAAGATCACACGGTGTCTGTGATGAAGAGACTCCCTTTATTTTTATTTATTTATTTTTTTCTGAGACGGAGTCTCACGCTGTTGCCCAGGCTGGAGTGCAGTGGCGCGATCTCGGCTCACTGCAAGCTCCGCCTCCTGGGTTCACGCCATTCTCCTGCCTCAGCCTCCTGAGTAGCTAGGACTACAGGCGCCCGCCACCGTGCCCGGCTAATTTTTTGTATTTTTAGTAGAGACGGGGTTTCACTGTGG